CACTAAATGTACTCACCATATAGACACTAACACTTCTACCATTATATCAGTGCAGTAACTACTGTCTTCTCATCAGTACTAAGTAATGAAAAAATGTAGTTACATAAAATAGGAGGTTTTTGTTTAACGTAAAACATTGGTAAAATGATTTGGAACATTAAGACGTAACTTGTTTTTTTCCACATTTTAACAAGGGTTGACAGGACACTGTTTTCTAACACCAAGGCTTAAGAACAAATGTTTCTATTCTTACAACAGTGACCACATCCAATGCACTAAAGGTGAATATATTTTACTATTCAGTGTGAGAAAAACAAAAACATGTACTGACCACTAATATTAAGAAAGACATACACTGACCATCACATGGATTAACCATATTTCTAGTTTGAACACTTCTCTTAAAGATGACATAGCTATTCTTAACTCTGTTTCTTCTGTTTACAGTGCAACAACTAAAAACTTTACTTTCCAAAACTACAACTGCCAAGAAATATAAGCTAAGTTGTTTTATTTTCCATTCATTAAAAAACAAGAACTCGGGTACACTCAACATTCTCTTCACCTTAGCAACATTAATAACTAATGTTGACTATGACTGTCATCACACGTAATAAAGCGTGCAAACATTGCGAGCACAGAAGAAAATATCAAATAAAATATACATAAGATCATTTTTTGCAGTCTTTTAAATTAACAAAGGTCTCTCAAAAAGTGTTAGTCGTGTTTCAAATGGCTATTAACGAAGAATAAGGCATAACTATTTCACAGGTTATTGTATATCATATACATTCTCCAGCTCAACATCTACTATTAAATTCTCAGCTTAATGTTTTCTTACCTCTTCATATTTCTTATCTGACTCTTCAGCCAGTAGTCTAGCCTGACCTAACTCAGTTTCTAAGATAGACATCTTATCATCTTCAAGGTTAGTCCGATTTTCAAGTGCTTTCCTTTGCCTGAAATGATTTGAACACTTAGTTTTACAATTAAAATTAAATATATTTCCATTCTTAAGAGAATGAAAGCAAACATCACCTTAAAAACACTAACTTTTTAAGTAAACAATTAACAAGTCGTCAAATCTCACAATCCATTCTGAAGTAAAACAGTTACAACAGCTAAATTCAAATAAAACTCTCCTTATGAAACTGTCGCTTCAACAAAGGCCACAAGTATTTCTAATAAGTTTAATAAGCAGCCTGGAACTCAATATTCTTATACTAAGAACTTGTGGATGAAAAAAAAACATAGAACGGTAAATAAGGAAGTAAAGCAAATAATTATCTCTTCTAGTTACAACCTTTGTATTCAGTTGCTGCTTGACATAGGTTGCTAAACCTTTAAAAAATGTGTACATGGAGGATATGAAACAAACTTTTTCTTAGGTTTTATATATGCATTTGAATAACTAAAAAATCATAAATTACTACATTAATACCATAGAATTCCACTATAATTTATCAAGCTTAGTAACTAAGATGTATTTTAGTCTAAAAATATATGAAATTTTGAGCAGACTAAATACACACTACCTCGTTGAAATATTGGTTCAAAATAAAGATATGGCACCAAGCCCATTAAAATGGCTGAGAAAACCACTAGGGGGACATTATGAGCTTCTGATTGGTTATTCATGTCATATATAGAAGTAAGTATATATAAGGGGGGAATTTCCAAAAATGGAAAGAGGTGGGTGGGGTGCTATTGTGTTTGATTTATTACATGAGCCATATCTTGGGAAATTCAAAAGAGGCTCTTATTTTATATTCTAGCTTGTCAATATCTGTAATTTGAGTTTCTAATTCTTACAAAACTATAGACTTAGTATTTTTACTTCACAAACATCTAATTTGAACCAGTGCTGCATTCAACATACCACATGACACACAAAAAAATTCGATGTTTATCTATGTTTTTTTAATATTTACTTTTAAATTAAGAAATTGAGTAATATATAATACTAAAATTTGAATTATAATCTACAGTTTGATACCAAACTCATTGGCATAAATTCATGAAATAGTTCAATAAAATTTTAAATGCGAGTCAACAAATGAGATGACATGGCCTTTCACCCGTGACCCATCTCGAACGGGTTATCAGATACTTTTACAGGATTACAGATAAAACTTCAGGGTTCAGGAAGTTAAAACTAAATTCCTGTAATAATGTTTCTTTTCTTTGTCTATTTTACAAGATAACAGTTACGACTAAACGTTTGTAGTAATGTTTCTTTATTCTATCTGATACTTTTAACTATTACAGGGAAGGCATTAGAATGTTAAGCAACATAATACATGCATATATAAGGTGGAAATAAATTAAATTACTTCCATCTTCAAGTAACCCAAGTAATTAGTTAAACTGTATGTAAGAATATTTACTTGATTGTCACACACAAACTTGTCAGATCAAACAAGTGAAAACTTTACCTGTTACTAACTTGTTTATCAGGCCTTGTGGCAGCCCACACTGACGGGTCTCCCTACTTGCTCGATGCAATTTATGGTCATATTTTCTAATCGTCAACTTCACTACCCGAGGAATGCGACCGTCTTCAATTATTCTGTAAGGTAACAACCAGTCACTGTCTAAACAAGTTCAAACAAAAATATAAAATACTGGTTTAAAGGAAACTAAGAAATACAGTATTAACACCCACAATAATAAATTGAAAATCAGCATTTTTTATCCTTCTCATTTTAAAGGCTTTAAAAATATTGATATCCATAAAAAAAGTTGTCAAAACTTTTCCTCCAAGCAACCTAATGAGCTCACAACAACATAAACATTTTAACTTGGTTCCGCATAGTCTAAGAATAACAAATTAGTGTTAGTCTTTAAAACCCGACTTTTACATTTTTAACCCTAACATTATTTACATACTTTTTAACTCATCACTACTGATAGGGCCGATATGTTCCATTATGTTAAATCATTTTCTTGTTGTTTGTTATAATGCTTAATGCAAAAAACTGATTCAAACAAAATGGGTGAAATTATTAATCTTACATATATATATATATTGCAAACCATGATGTCTGTCTGAGTGTTTGTCTGTCTCCCGTTTACAGTGGCTGCTTCCCGCAATGTGTTTGCAAGCAGGCAAAGCTCGAGTTTCAGTTTTGAAATGACGGGAGAATAGGCATAAATAATGTTGATACCATTTTTTTTTCTTTGCAAGCAGGATATTCTACACTAAACTGTTAGGAATTAATCACCCTATCATTCACATTTCAAAATATGACGTAACTTAAATAATATAAATGTACATTTACCGTATGTTATTGTTGAGCAGCTTTTAGCATGACCGAAATGCTTAACAATTACTTTTCGCGGTGGGCGGTATAAACTATAGTTATATAGTGTAACTTGTAAGTAGCTCGGAGAGCTTTAGCTCCGAGTGAAACCAGGAGTGCAACACAATTAACCTTTTTTTAAAGTCCATGAAATAATTTAATTTGTTAGATAAACTTTTCCCATCACTGAGGACGGGTACTTTTGCCTGTCTTCTACACAAAATACATAGTTGACCTCAGTAGTAATTACCGATTTTAATGCCAATATTGGTGGTGTTTGTATTTTTGTGTTTGTCACATAATTGTTATTAGAAAACACGTAATCAATGAAGTCATGGACCCACAAGCAATTTCTACATAACTTCTAGAGTTACAAGAAGTTCAAATTAGCTTCTGGTGGGCTATGAGCTTCTAATTTGAAACTTGATACTGAAATGATGATACTTGTGTTGACAGAAAAAAAAATACTTTACTGGATATGAAACATTTCTGTTAAATCACAGATCCACTAATCGTAGTCGAGAACATAACCTAGCTATAAACGATATGTTATGAACACCGCAGAAGATACACAATTATTCTCATTTAGCTAATTTGTGGTTTGTGTCTTACAAAAATTTCAAAAACTGGTTCATGAAACATTTTTCTTCTTTGTGTTATGAGAAACTACAAGTATAAACTGGGAACAGTTTTATACTAACAAGTTAATAGAAACATCTCTTGGTTGGAGTGCCATCTATAACATGTGAATGTGTTTTAAAAAATAATGAACAGTAAATTTCTTTTAAAGATAACTGGACAACATGGAAAGTATCAAACCTTTTGAAAAGCCGTTCTAGTAGTAATCCTAGTCTCCAATGACATTCTGAAACTGTCGAGCACTTCCGGAAGGCGTCTTCAAGGCTGTGTGACTGATAAAATACCATGTAATAAAACCCACTGCTAAATGGAGATATACATTACTCTGGTTAGAAATAACCAACCACTATTAACTGTGGATATATATAACTCTGGTTAGAAATAACCAACCACTATTAACTGTGGATATATATAACTCTGGTTAGAAATAACCAACCACTATTAACTGTGGATATACATTACTGTGGTTAGAAATAACCAACCACTATTAACTGTGGATATACATTACTCTGGTTAGAAATAACCAACCACTATTAACTGTGGATAAACATTACTCTGGTTAGAAATAACCAACCACTACTAACTGTGGATATACATTACTCTGGTTAGAAATAACCAACCACTATTAACTGTGGATATATATATAACTCTAGTTAG